TCATCTGGGGGATCAAACTGAATAATCCAGTCGACAGCGGGAATCTAAGAAAAAAAGGTCAGAAACGAGGTCACAGACTAATAGGTAGAGGAAACAAACATCGAGGCCACGAGCGGCAACGTCGGTACAGATCAGGGTACCCTGGGTGGCGTTGCAAAACTCGAAAAAGGTGTTTGTTCGCTTTTGCTGCTTCTGCTTTCCGTGCAGCTCAAGTACGGGCAGATCGATGTAGTTCAGAAGCTCAGCGTGGTACTTAACGCAATTACAAGAACTGAAAAAGACAATTATCTTCTTTTTCAGGTTGCGCTGAAGGTTTTGACCGTGTTAGTATAGAGTTATTATTGTTGGAAGCCAAACGGTTGGGGTTTGAATGGACTGGGGTTGATTTACCTTGAGGAACGAGAACAGGAGCAAGAAGCGCCGATCGGCCTCACAGATCACGTATCCTTGTTCCAGACCCTCCACAGTACTGTGCTCCTTGCGGTGATCAACGTTGATATACAATGGGCCAGGGCGCAGGGAAATTCGGGCCAAATCCTCGACCTTGGTGGTTTGGGTGGCGGAGAAAAGCATAGTTTGACGCTCTTCCGAGGGCAGGATCTTGATGATTTGGCGCATCTCGTCCTCGAAACCGACTTCGAGGATACGGTCGGCCTCGTCAATGACCAGAGTCTTCAAGTTCTTGAAAATGAAGCCTTGGGTGTTCTGGAGGTGATCAAGCAGACGACCAGGGGTGGCAATGAGCAGGTTAACACCCTTGGCAAGCTTGTCGGCTTCAGCACGACGGTTGGCACCGCCAATGACGATACCGTAGGTTTGAGAGTGGTGGGTCATCAGCTCACGAGCAACACCAAAGATCTGGAGGGCCAGTTCGCGAGTAGGAGAGATGACAAGAACACCGGTGCCGTTTCTGGGCTTGAAGCGCAAAGCGCTGAGCATCTCAATCGCGGGGATCAGGAAAGACAGAGTCTTGCCGGATCCAGTCTTCGCAGCACCCAGAACGTCGCGACCAGCGAGCAGAGGTGGGATTGTGCGCTGCTGGATCTCAGTCATAGTCTCGAAGCCCATGTCCTTAATTCCTTGCATGGTCTTCTCCGAGAGGTTCAGCTCAGTAAACTTCTGCAGCTGGCCCTCAGTCTGGGGAAGGCTGACTTCGCCCATGGTGGGAAGGTCCTCGACGTTGTCCTTCTCCTCGGCCTCATCTACCTCGTTGTCCTCCTCCTGCTCCTCGACTTCCTCGACTTCCTCGGCCTCGTCGTCGCTCTCGTCCTCGCTGGCGGAGTGGCTCACTTTGCGCTTCTTGGTCGTCTTCTCGGTCGTAGGCTTGGGGGAAGCAGCGGCCTTGATGGCCTTCTTGGTTGACTTGGTCTCGACAGGCTTTGGGACATCGTCACTGTCGGCGGTAGGCTTAGCAGCATGCTTTCTCTTGCGCTTCTTGGCGTCAATGGACTTGGTGGTGTCCACTGGGCCGGGCATCTTGTCGTTTTGGGCGAACCACAAGGTTTGCGATTCACTGAAGCAGAACGAAAGTGATTCACTTGAATCAAAAGATGTGTGATCCTTCGATTGGGGTGTTTTGATCTCCGGGGATGCGACCTACCGCTGCGGAAAACCATTCTGCTACTTTTTTTTTTCTGACCGGTGAGGCTCGGCAGAATCTCCACTAATCACGTGCTGATAGGAAGCATCTTAGTAACCATCCTATTCTTCGACTCGCTTTGTGAAGCTGTAATTCCACGTTGGGTAAGCTATGCTAGCAGCTGGCTTTCATGAATGCCCTGCCCAGCTGGTCAGTATTTGAGGGTGCAACGCCCAGCAAACGCCAAGTAAATACAAAGTCAACATGCATGTATGCACGGGTATATATACTCTTGGTCAAACACTCGGGTCAATGAAGGACGGCCGAAAGATATTTGCACTTTTAGAAATCTTTTACCGATCTCGCAGGGCAAAGCCTGGTCCAAATCTCAAAGCCCCGTGCGCCTGTTGGCTTTCTGGGAAACAAATAGCAACGATGGAAGAAAGTCCTGCAGAAAAAACCCCCGATTGATAGATAGCTTACCATGGATGACTTGCACATAATTAGTCAATGGTCACCAAGAGGCCGAAAAAAATAAAAACTGACAGCAGTGCAGCTCCAGCGCTCCAGCGCGTCTCCGAGGGATAATTTTTCAAATATACCGCCTAAGACCACTCTCCAACCTTGAGATGTTATTCCATAAAATAATGCTAGAGCACCGTATCTGTCAGTTTATACATCTCCACTGTCCTTTATACCACCACGTACTACGAGTTAAATCGTAATCGTGCAACACCCTGAATAATAGAGTACTGCTGTAGAACATGACATCGGCTTCTAGGGTACCTGTCTATCAAGTCAAAGGTATTTGCAGTAAGTTACACTTACTACAGTTACTCCACCGGGACAGGCTGCCTTGCTAATGCATGTCCACATGGGTTGTTTTCAGGGGGGCAAATTCCCGTATTAGTATTCGTTGTTTCTTCCACAAGTTAGTCACTTGGAGCTTTAGTCTACCCGGTCGTATGATTCACAATTTTGACAGAGTGGGAATCATGTATCTTGCCAAGGGCTGGGCTCGTCCGCAGTACGTACTAGGTAGACTCGGCAACCTTGGCGGAGCACGGGAATTTCTTGGAGTTTACAAATGTTTTGCTGTGCTTATGCAGGAGAATCCGCAGCATTATTTCGCTTTCGTGCTGCCTAGCGTAGACCCGTAATTCATTCGACACTATGGAGTCGACATATTTCTTAGCTGCTACATACGATCCACCCAGGCGGCAAGCCCAATTGTTCGAAGCATATATAGTCTGTTTTTGATCGTCAAAGGACTAGTCAAGGTAGCTGTTGTATCATTTAAATTCCAGTTGCCTATGGAGATGAACATGCAATTTTATAGGAAGCTGTGTTGAATCGGTGGCTGCGACGAGTGGGGTATACAGACAGAGATTAGGACCACTCGGATGCCGTAGCGCCCTCAAACCCTGACCCCCAAAATAGTGGTGGCGCCGTGACGGGTCTTGTTATCGAGACAGCATGGATGGAACACTGTTTCTCACGGTCGCAAAACATGTATCTTAGGTCGTACACAAAAAGCACGTATAAGCGACGTCATGTATACATATTGGGATATGACGATCATTTGATCTTTGATAGTGATGTCAGGAATGGCAGGTCGCGTGGATCTAGGTGCCTTGAAATGGCGACCTTCATTGGCAAACGGAAGCTCGGAGCACGTGGACCTGGATCTCGGACACTAATGTAGGATTGACAGTTAGATGTGCAGCGAATATGGAGTACATCTGAAACACGATGGGCAGGATTGTCATGGGGAAAAAACTGAGGCTGTGCATCAAGCCCACGCCACGGCATTCACTTGGCTGTGATCTTTTCGTTGGTCTATGCCATAGACTAGAGGAACTATTTAAATTAATTTAGTGATTTAGGATTTATGGATCAGTCTTATTTCGGGTGGGGATCGGCCCCCTGAGAGCCAGATGACCTAACGACCATTGTGTCCCGCAGTATGCCCTCCAGGGCTTTTAATACAAACATGGTATGAAGAAAATGATACGTAATTTTGACATATCTATTCATTGCTTGTGTAGATAGATAAAAAAGGCCGGGCTCGAATTCCGGTTATCCCATACATAAGCCCTTGTTGACCTTTAACCCCCTTACTCCTAATCAGGGGGACTCAAGGAATACAAGAAAAATAGTTCAGCTTTGGCGCGCCAATGTGTGCCCAGCCTCGGCATACGCTAGTTACCATACGAGCGATTACAATTCATCAGCTGCAGGTACTTGGATATGCTATGGCCCACTTACTATTTTAGTTGCGCCTCTGTCAACTCCACAACTGGGGAACAGTTCCTTTGGTTCGTGGGATGAAATAATCTGCCTTCTGCAGCACTGCAGCATTTAGGGTATTAGGAGACCCACTCACCTCCGCCACGATCCATCTACCGCTTGCAGCCAAGAAATTCCCCTTAAAGACGCGTGTGCAGGGAAATAAAAGAGAATCTGGCGGTGATTATGCCAGTAGAAGAGAAGAGTAATGATTGAATTGTATGAATCATTGAACAAGAAGAATATAGTGAAGTAGGGATGTTGATGAAACTTACACTTACATCAGTGATCGACCAGGGAAGGCCTAGTTCCCGTCAGAAAAGGGACTGGAACCACCCGCCATAACATAAGCCATACCATGGTTACGGTAAATTACCCCCTTTGAGTGGTCCAACAAGCGCCCAGGGCTCCCCTGACCATACAATACCACATTCCTCCATTCCAGGTGACCCGCATTGTGTTTCTGGGCAAAAAGGCAACTCACCCTGCTCGTCCTCTCCCTTCGAGAATCTCTCAGAGGACTGCAAACCTGTCTTTCCCCTCTTCTTCATCGTTCGACTTCAATAATCTCTGGGCCATACTGTGTATGCTGCCAATTCCACTCGCTCTTGACCTCCAGTTTACGTTCTCCACTTTTCCCGATTTAACCTACTTCTGCGACTCCACGCACCTCGTTGAACATTCGTCGTCGACTTCACTTCTCTTAACTAGGTGCCTTTGCTCTGTATTTGCATACTACACAGTCGCATGCGACTTAGGATATTAGTCCGCCGACCTTCCTTCAACTCACTCACCTGACAATCGCTTTCTCAAGCTGTTCCGTTGATTCATTCGGCAACAATCAAAGATACGATTGGAAAGACGGATCCACCACACCTCTAGCTGCTTTCTACGACAAAGGATTGTGTGGTCGTATTGGCGACATTCGAGATCGCATCGGTCCCACCACATAATAAAAAATTAACCGCCGAGAACTCCGCCGCTTGGGGATTTTCCGCATCCGGCGGCTGGCAACGTGGTACTCTGCAGCACCGCTTCAACTGTCGCTCGTCATATTATCTCTTCTCTCTCTCCTTCTCGATATCGTTGGACTCGAAATTACTTCTCAAACTTAGTTTCAGTGTTCGCCAGAATGAGGTTGATATCGTTACTCACGTGCTTAGTCGCATTTGTGGCGCCGGCGTTTGCAGTCAACTATCTCGAATCTAATTCACTCAACTTGTGCATGGAAAGCAGCAACTTCACAGCCACTTATTTCCATGTCATCTTCTACCCAAACAACAATTCTCTTCAGATCGGTTTCGATGGCGTGTCGTATATCTCCGGCAAGGTCGTGGCAGAACTAACTCTGACGGCCTATGGTTATAAGGCTTATTCGAACACCCTCGACCCCTGTTCTATTTCTGGAATGGGCATGTGTCCTATGGCACCCGGTCCCATTGACTTAGAGTCTGTTTCGCTCACTCTCCCAAATGACACCGCTTCGAATATCCCGGGTATCGCTTACACTGTTCCGGATCTCGATGCGGACGTCCAGATTGTGATCAAGAGGAAAGATACTGGCGAGAAGATTGCTTGTGTGTCAGCGTCGCTTTCAAATGGCAAGACTGTCTACCAAGTTGGAGTTTCTTGGGTGACTGCAATCATTTCAGGCTTGGGTCTTACAGCATCTGCCATCACCTCCGGACTGGGTCACTCTAACACCGCCGCTCATGTTGCGGCAAATGCTCTGTCTTTGTTCAGTTTCATGCAGTCTCAAGCAATCATTGGTATGACATCGGTGCACATGCCACCAATCGTGGAATCATGGACTCAGGACTTCCAGTGGAGCATGGGTATCATTCACGTCGGGTTTCTACAGACCATCTGTACCTGGTATCAACGCTCCACTGGTGGCACTCCTTCAACTGTTCTCTCGACACTGAGCCAAACCTCAGTTGAGGTGCTGAAGAAGCGTGATTATGTCATAGACCCTGTACGCAATCTGATGAAGAGAGGACTCCATATGCTCGGAAAACGAGACACCAGCCAAAAGGTTCAAGTCGTGCGGGGTATCGATCGTGTTGGATTCCGTGCAGGCATTGAAGAAACCAATATCTTTTTGACCGGTCTTATTTTCTTCGTCTTCTTCGTTTTTGTCGTCATCGTCATCATTGCTGCGTTCAAGGGTGTCTGCGAGTTACTCGTCAAGCACGGCAAGATGAAGGGTGACACATTCCAGGACTTCCGCAACGGATGGAAGGTTGTTACTCGAGGTATTCTATTTCGTCTGACCCTGATTGGTTTCCCCCAAATGTGCATTCTTTGCCTTTGGGAATTCACTCAGCGTGACTCACCGGCTGAGGTCGTTCTGGCTGTGGTGATGCTCTTATCGCTACTCATTGCGCTAGGATGGGCAGCTCAGAAGGTCATTCGTCTGGCCAGGCGCTCGGTCAGTATGCACAAGAACCCGGCATATATCTTATATTCCGATCCTGCGTGTCTGAACAAATGGGGCTTCCTTTATGTGCAATACCGAGCTACAGCATACTATTTCGTCGTTCCCTATCTTTTCTATGTCCTAATTAAGGGCATGTTCATCGGATTGAGTCAGTCTGCTCCTGTTGTCCAGACGGTGGCTTTGGTGGTCATTGAAGCTGCTATGCTGGTTGCTGCGTGTGTTATTCGGCCATGGATGGATAAGAAGACCAACATTTACAACATTTCAATTGCGGTCGTCAACTTCATCAACGTGATCTTCCTGCTAGTCTTCTCGAATGTCTTCAACCCACCAGGCCTGATGGTCGGTGTGATGGGTGTGGTCTTCTTCGTATACAACGCTGTCTTTGCCTTGGTCCTCCTCATTCTTGTCTTGATTGCTTCGGTCTACGCCGTTCTGTCCAAGAACCCCGATACCCGATACCAACCAATGCGCGATGACCGGGGTTCATTCATCAAGTCGCAGACCCAGCTTACAACTGAATTGGATGCGTTGGGTGCTACTGCTCGAGGCGACATGAAGTCTCAATCATACCAGAACAACCCCTTCGATGAGGATACGATCTCCGTCTCCAGTGGTCGCGGCAATGGTAGTGCTAGTGGCAGTGGCAGTGGCAGTGGCAACGGATATCAAACCCCGAATGCAGTCAATGCCCCTCACGGCGCTTCTCAACAGCAGCGATCACCCGTTGATCCATCAGTACCGCTGATTCCCAGCGATGCCTCAGGTCGCCGGGGCGCTCCTCCGGGTTACGATCAGCTTGGGCGCGCATCACCATCACCCGCAGTGCGGAACTATGACAACATGCCCGTGGGGCAATCCGCATTGGCCCCCAACTATAGGAACCAAAATAGCTCCAGTCCGTGGCAACGAGGAGCTGGTTACGAGCACTAAGCACTCGTCTCAGATTTTCCATAATTTCCTGATATGAAGACATGTGATGTTTTTTTTAGCGTGGGGGCAGTGATGGTCTATGAACCTTTTCCATCCGTCATTCTTGGGATCCGGTATTTTCTTTTCACTTTCCTTTCTTTGCTCAGCCTTGCCGATTCCCTTCCAGAGCACTTGCAGTTTTTGTTCCACCACTAGAATAACCCAGATGATGTGATACCTACTTCTCTTCAGACTTCTCCTTACCCTCCTTCATCTCTTCTCGTCGACCTCGACCAAAATCATCTTCTTTTCTCCTTGCCTACTCCCCCCTGAGAATTCCTTCATTCGTGGTCAACAAGTATTTCTCTTTATCAATTTTTGTACTCTGGTTTTCTGGCTGTTAATTACGGTGTTCTGATGCATTTTGGGGTACGGGGGTTGGACCGGATTTCTTGTGATCCTTCAAATATAATTTCTCTCTCAGTGCTTCCTTTCAAAGTAAAAGACTGCAACAGTCCAGGTAGTTGTACCTAGTAGAGCACCTACCTAGAGGTATCAAGTTATTCCCACCTGGTCAGCCCTGGAGAGCCTTGTTTACCTTACAAAACTAGAGTGTCTAATCTCACACGATGGACCAGAAGGTTGTAAGATTGGATAAAATCAGTGATTAGTTTAGAAAGGCCACTGACTCAAATATATACTTTACAGCCTTTCCGATATAGGCGTCAGAGGAGAAGTCTTGGAAAACATGATATTGAGTATTGAGAGATCCACAGAAAACCCAAACCAAACGCTATAATACAACGCCGGGGAAGAGAAACACCCTCTAGGAGAATTTTGTTTTCCAGCGACAATGAAAGTTTTCTGTCTCAGGACGAAAAATGAACATCCAACTCGTGCGGAAGACGTAGTGATCATGACTATGAGATATCAAATAAAGAGAGGGAAGAAAAGCAGAGAACACCTCAAAACAACCCATTCAATCGAAAGAAAACCAATTTACCATTTTTCATCCATTCCGGGAGGAGGCCCACCTCCAGGAGGCATGGGGTATCCCTCTGATCCACGCGGACCGGAAGGAATCGGCGAATTCGACATACCTGGCATCGGCGGGATGGGAGGGAAACCGCCTCCGGGTAACGGCATGGGGAAGTTAGCAGGGAAGCCACCGGGAGGCGGAGGGAGGTTTCCTGCGCCCGGAGGCATGTTAGGGAGTCCGCCTGGGGGAGGGAAGCCTCCTGCTGGTGGGGTTCCTGTAGCACCAGGGAATGGTGGTGGGAAAGGAAGACCGTGGGCACCTGGAGCTGTTCATGGAGAAGGGAATTGATTAGCTGCTGCGCCGAAAGGAGGCCCGGGGTATGAGAGGGCATCTCCTGGCTGGTTGGACATACGAGGCGGCATTCCTGGGGCGCCGGGAGCTCCTGGAGGAGGAATTCCAAAGGGAAGAGGAGGGCCTTGACCAGGTCGACCTGTTATGACAAGATGTGTCAGTTTATGTAGGACCTATGCTTAATAAGGGCGCCTTCGTACCTGGGAAGCCGAATGGTGGGGGGAATGCTCCTGGCACCATAGCCGGATTGGGGAGGGGCTGGCCTTCAGCGGCGTAGGAGGAGGTGATAGAGTCGATAACTGATTGAGCCTTCTCCTGGCCGATCTCTACAGGCGATTGTCAGCATGGCTCATACTTGTTCGAGAGGTGATCTCCAGGTGACCTACGCTGATAGTACTCCACAACGTTCCTCAAGTGGTTACGACCGGAGTTATGCGCCTTGCGCACACTCATGGAGTCGTGCGTAAGGTAAACATCGCAGTAATCGCCTATAGTCAATTCACAGTCAGCACCATGGCCTTTCGAATCGCGTTATCGTGGTGGTATTTGATATCAGTAGTTGGGATCGTCGTCTCCGCACACGGTAAGGGCAAGGGAAGGTATTTGATCTTAGGCTGACTTGGAGTAAGAACCTACAGAAGAGTAGATAGGAGGTCAGTATGGATAGCAAGATCAAGCAAGGCTGAAGGGGACTTATATTTCGGCATCTTGGCAGCTTCCTTTGCGCGTTCTCAACTGCTGTTGCGCGCGAGGAAAATTCCCGTTCAGGGTGCGGAGGAGCTCAGCGGGAATATCACAGGTCGATGTGCGGTGGGTAAATGGTTGAAAGGCGAGTTCTCAGACACTACCCTGGCGATAGGTCACTGATAAGGAATCAATGAGACTGAAGTGATCAATTTGGAGGTCGTCTCCCAATTCGGATGGTGAAGGTGAGGGCGGTGAAAGTGGCAAAATCTACATCCTTATCGCGCTTGGCGTTATACGGTTCGAGCGTGATACTTCAAAGGGAAATTTATACTTACAAAGACATGGTCGATTGGAGGATCGAACCTGGAATGAAAAGCCATTTCTATTGGCTCATCGAGCTGTACAGAATAAGTTCAATATTGATATTCTACCGTATGTACTGGAATGTTATTTGACCAATCTATAATGTCTGGAGCTAAACTAAAGACTACACTTCCTACTATGCCGAATATTTTTGACTTCCTAAGATTGTTTTGATATCATTTATCGTCTTCAAATACTTGAAGTTCATTACTTTTCTATCAGACAACGAATGGCCAAGGAGCCCAGTTTCGATAATATCAAGATTGAGAATAAAGAACTATCCCCGCTGCAATTAATTGTATAATTAGACAACCTCACTTTTCGAGAACTGTAGACATGATATAAGAGGTAAGGTAGTTCTTGTAAGACAAGACAAACAGTCACCGACTTAGTGAAAAATTCACGAAAATCAGGACTATTTAAAGAAGTTTGATGGCGGATCGCCTTCTAGGTCAAAATGATCGACGGTTGCCTGATGTGATCTCGATACTTCGCAGACCTAGCTCTTGCTACCTTCGTCTTTCAAATAAAGCTTATCCGCATCTATCTTTGCTGATACCAACTGATCCAACGGGTGGAATTGTCCATGCTTGATGCCGTTTCAACAATGATCATTCAGCTCAATTGAATATTGATGCAGTGTGAGCCTGATAGCCATGACCCACGACCAGGGTGGCAAGCTTCTTAGTTGCCCAGTAGTGTGATGTTGCACCAATAGAATAGCGCGATTAAAATTAGAATAGGATTATAACATATGTCCGCGAACCAAATCAACTCATCCGTAGATCTTTGTCCATACAGTACGTTGCGAAACCGGTGCAACCGCCTGCACTCTTCGAGTGACTCTCCTGGCTCACCGCCAGGAGACACTGGGATACTTTAGGAATAGCCCCAGAGTATCAATGTTCCTGTACCAGTCTCGATACTATCATTTACTGTCATTAAATACAGCGCCGTGTTTCGTAACAGTATTAGCGACCAGACGGAAACCGCGAATAGACGCCATCAGTAATCTGCCTTTCACCCGATCCCGAGGACATCGTTGGTTAATGTACACCTTCCTTGCATTAACATCCGTTCGACGAGCAGGGTTTTGATTCCGTGGTTGAACATGCAGATAGAAGTGCATAGGATGAACAATCTCCGGACCGTATCCACTACCAGATTGAGTGGAGGTTTAAATTGAACAATCGAGTTGTGGTCAGGAATATAAAACAGGACCTAACTCAACCGCCTAGATCCTACTGGGAACAGATAAAAGAGGACGCTTGTAGGATTCTACGACGGAAGGCAGCCCGTGGCCGACGGGTGAGACTGGATGATACTAACATAGTGTTATCGGTGACCTCTCAACGGGACATTAACAATCACTTTGAAGGTACTAGTGTCGATTGGACAGTGGCGGAGAAACAGCTACTAGCGTGGGCCTATCTATTCCGTCGTGGCAAGGAGACCGGCTTCAGATATCGATCAACTATATAGAGGACAGCGGGCCTCTTCCTTGCAGAACAGACAAAAGAGGAAAATCATCGGTGACCACACGGATGCTTGCTGACCGAGACGCTCAGATCGACGCGGAGCAGGTCTCCGGCCAACATTCCGTCTGGCGTGATGTGTATCGTCTTATGCGTGGTCCCGGGCCTCCATGTCGTCACGAAGGACAATATTGCTGGCAAATTCCGGAAGGAAAAAGGCACCATAGATCGCGAACACACCATCTGAGTCGTAGTGAATGATGAGTTGATCCCTTCGATGCATACATACCTTGGTATATAGTGCCGTATACTGGGTATAGATTCAATTAGGGACCTGGAGATGTGGCAGAGTTAGGGCTCAGTGCAGCAACAGTATCTGCAGGTGGGATCCAAGAAAGTCACCAGGAAGATAGGGAGTGAAGTCGCTGTGATTTAGCAAGGCCCTAATTTCGAGGAAAGACAGAGCCACCATGGGGCGTCATGATTAGCCCCGGGTGATAGATTTCAGGTCAACCCGAACATTGGATATTCTCTTTAGCGGGATTTGATTGAAACCTTCTTCAGGCCGGGTCCTCGTTACATAGCTGAGACAAGTCGACTGTCATCTATATAGCACAGGAAGACCAAGCGCCGTGTCTTGATTTTCTCGGTGATTGTCACTCTAACAGGGTCGATCGTTATAGCCACGCCTAGCTATGACACCGTAGTTTCGTCACTAGAACAACCCCATATAGTACTATAATTCGTCTTTTTTCCATAATAGCCGCTGTCTCTGGTCCCATGCCTGCTGGTATAATAAACCACATTGAGCAGCGCCCTCGGCCGCCAGATACCAGTCTCGTAGCCGTCCTCCTATGATCTCAACATCACCAAGAGCATGTTCAAGGCTCTGCTTCATTAATGATCCGTCAAACCCACTCGTCAAAATAAACGCTTTATCAATTTTGGTAGGGATCATGTCATCCCGAATATCTCCGGTAGGATTGTCTACACAAATGTTAGTTAACAATTTTATCCAGACGGCCCACTAGCAACGTACTCGCAGCAACGAGATAGTTATGAACATTCTGCGCAACGCTTTGAATATATCTCATCTCTACTGCTTCGACATCAACCCATGACAGCACAGCGGTGGCGTCGGGGTCCTTCAGATGCAGAGGGTATTCGTGATGGTGATGGTCCTGGTGGTCCTCGGCCCCCAGCACTTCGCGATCAATGTTATCTCGTATCAGCACACGCGCCTTCCGGACTTCTTCCCGCAAAGCGGCCTTGGATCCACCAAGCGAAAGCCAAGTCTGTAGGATTTCCGATCGTTCAATGGCCGACTGGGTTATATCCCGATCGAGACCGGCACTTCCCCAGGGGTCCATGGGGAGGCGCCCATTTCGGGCCATTGGCCGGGGACTCGCATTGAGACTTTGCAGGTCCAGATAATATTGTCCTAGGTCCAGAATAAGATATTTCCCGTCCGCCTCTCGTGGAGTCCCATTGCTGCTATATGTTGATACGGCCATCCGGCTCATGGGCTCCATCAAAGGCGTGATGCCAACCTTCCGGCTCGCCTCGAGGAACAAATCCACCAGGGTTTGGTTGAAAAAGTCCGGGAGGGCGATGACCGCCGATTGCATATCAATGTTGTGCTTGGTGCGTGCCTCTTCCTGCAACCGCGTGAGGATATCGACAAACGCATCCTTCACATCATTCAGCGTGAACTCCCCTAGTTCCGACCTCTTGGCGCTGCGAAGCCGAGCCGTGATGCCATGCCAAGCACTGCAGACGCACTGCTGTACCCAAGACAGGTTCGCTGTGTCATGGCTACAACAGGTCAAGGACGATACGAGCCTTGCAAACAGCTTTACCACAGCATTGGAAATGCCGGAGGTCCCTTCGTTCTTCCGGCCATATAGGGCGTCGAGCGTGCCGTCGCTCCATGATTCTAGTCGCAGCCTGAATAGATAGATGCTGAAGGGATCACCTAGCTCAGGTTTGATACAGGCTGGCAACGTCACATTATCACTGCTATACGCATGTGCGACAGTTCTAGGATTCTGGTCAATAGTCACCACAAGGCGGGCAGGGGTGGCGGCTTCATCAAAGCGATTTTCGAGACGCACATCATATCAGGCCCGATATCAATGCCGATGGCCTGAGGGCGGGCCGCAAAGATTGCGTCTACAAGGGATATAACGAACCCCCCGCAAAGAACCCATCGCAGCAAACACACCATGTGGGATTGATTGGTATACCACACAGGTCAAGCAAGGGTTTCAGGCAAGGCGGAGGGAGTTATGATTTCCGTGTTAGTCTAAAAAATGCCAAGGGACATTCGGCGCTACTTCACATCCAGTGACACACCACCAATGAAGTGATGAGTTTCCAATTAAAGTGAAATGAAGCCCCACCTCAGCTTCGCCTCTGGGTGATGGCGGTGGATGGACATTGGAGGTATCAGATGTATTGATTTACAAGTGAATACATGACTGAAATTGCTGTTTAACCTACCTACGAAAGAATACATACGCAACTCCTGGAAGAACTCCAAATACAGACTGGTGTGTTTCGGCACAAGCGGCAGAAAAGCTAATCGGAGAGTGGATCAGTTGCACCGGTTTCGCGACGTACTGTATCTATTTTCAATCAATATCCCTCATACAGAAGCCGGAATTTTGAAGGTGAAAGAAACTTGTCCTTGTCGCACATTTGTCACATCTGTGGTCCAGCCTTCTCATGAAATTGCGCCATCGAAACCAGCTCACGACATCGAATGGCGGTACAATTTACATAATATGCCTCATCAAAAACGCAACCGGCATCATATACCAGCGAAATCTTGCGTCATCGTGGCAGTTTGCCGGTCGTGCATACCCGACTACCCCAACAGTACAGTAAGAGTAGTGACCGTCCCGGTCGAGACCTTTGCGCACCGGTAATGATGTGTCATGGACAGGCGCTATTATCTAATA